TTATAAAGGCTGTTGTGGAGACGATTACTGGCTACCGTCATGACGAACTATGTAATTATCTTCGGTTATTAGAATTGTTCATTTGAAATGGTTCTCTGATGATTATTACAGGCACAAGAGATCATACCCTTGGCCACTAAGAAAATGATAGAGGTAGTTCTAAGGAATTAAAGGATAATGCGGACTGCGAGCACTGTGTCGATGATGTCCCTAACAACAACGTCTCTGCAACCTTCAGCATTCTTTCTCTCTCTGAAGCGTAAATTGCAATACTTCTCGAATCGTATTTACCGGCGTATAAGATGCACCAGATTTACAACTATTATTGTGTGTAAAAAAAAGGTACATTTTAATATGCTTCATTACACATTTATTGAATGTGATGTTCGAGTGATTTTCTAGGGGAAAATGTTTGCTTTTTGGTATGTAGTGGGTGTTTGTGTGCTTTTGGGCATGTAATGGGTGTTTGTGTGCTTTTGGGCATGTAATGGGTGTTTGTGTGCTTTTGGGCATGTAATGGGTGTTTGTGTGCTTTTGGGCATGTAATGGGTGTTTGTGTGCTTTTGGGCATGTAATGGGTGTTTGTGTGCTTTTGGGCATGTAATGGGTGTTTGTGTGCTTTTGGGCATGTAATGGGGTTTGTGTGCTTTTGGGCATGTAATGGGGGTTTGTGTGCTTTTGGGCATGTAATGGGTTCGTGGTGGAGCAAACACAGCCGTCCTCTCCACCGACAAATACTGTACGCTGATGACCATTAGAGGAAAAATGTTACAGAGGCATATAATGGGTTCAATTCTTGAACCCATTACGTTCCTCTCCAACCTTTTTTCTCCAGCCACTGCTCACAAGATGGGTATGGGGTGCAAAAATTAATGAACTAAACTAAAAATAAAAAAATGATGACCATTGCAAGCGAGGTCCACGTGAAACGATCCCCCCAAACGAAATATGTTGCAGTCGTTCGCAACACTTGAAACCAATGTTGAGAATTGACCAACAAACTTTACCAACTATGGGCTCCTGACAACACAAATTCTTGTGTTATATATTTTGCAAATAATCTTTGAAAACTTCCCGAAAGCAAAGAAAACAATGCTAATAAAGCGAGGAAATATTACGACTGGAAGCGTTTGCTTTTCCATAATTAGTGTTTAACAATGCCTGTCTTGTCTTTAATGACCTAGAGGTCAGTGAAGCGAAGGAGACTGAGAGATGGTCGTCAGGCAGGGACGGTCAACCACGAACGACAAGGAAGGATAGTCAACAACCAGGGAAGGTCGTTAAGAAGAGGCTGTTATCAAGCAGGCACAGAGTTCTGGGGGTCGTCACTCAAGTGAGGGGGGTTGAGAGGTCAAACAAGGTCAGTGGTCTCCTTTTTACCTGTCAACGAAGACTCACTCTGGTCTCAAATACTTCAAGATATCATTGACACATGCATTGGCCGTCAAGCAGGTCAGGCCGTCAAACAGGGGGAGACCCGTCAAGCAGGGGCTGTCGTCAATCAAGGATTGCCACCAAACAGGCCAGGCTGTTGGGGATTTGGCCGCCAAGCAAAGGTGACCATCAAGCAGAGAAGTCCAACAGCCACAGGTGCACGAGCGGAGACTCAGGCAACATAGAACCACGTCCAACACAGACGCCGGAGACGGGTAATTAAGTCACTACAAAGGGACCGCACCTGCAAAAACCTCCATACTCTCTCAGGCAAGAAAATAAAACAAGATACTCTTTAATTACAGGTACTTCGTGCATGTTTTGAAGGACAAGTGTACAAACAGACATTTGGAAAAAACGCTAAAATATAATTTCCCACTATTATGGTTGCTTTTTTTTGAGTGATGTATAGTTCTGTATAGATTACTGAATTGCTCAGTACACATACACTCCTCTTGTTTACATGGAAGTGGTGTGCGTGTAAACACAGCCAAGCAACCCCTTTTCTCTCTTGATTTGCCACTCGGTTAACAAACTCAACCGTTTTGCTTAAACAGAAACGCATGAACCCAAGCAACCCACCTAACCTACCGAGGCAGAAGCCCTAAAAGAAAGCATAAAAATTATCATGCTGTGTTCTACATAGGATTTTTAAACCATTGATCGATTTCGTAGAAAACGCGACGTAGTGAAGACAGGAATATACAGGCATCTAGACAACTCTGAAGCTGGACCAACAAGGTAAAAGTAAGGTAAAAAGGTAAAAAAACAAAAAGTAAGGTGGTTCTTTTGACTATCAATAAGGGGGGAAATTTATTGCTTGGGAAACTAACCTAAAGTTTATGAGACATGTGTTACAAGAGAAGGAAGAGTTTATGAGTGGCAGGAGAAGGGAAGATCTTCACTCTCTACCCCCGTTCCTTTCTCTCTCTCTCTCTCTCTCTCTCTCTCTCTCTCTCTCTCTCTCTCTCTCTCTCTCTCTCTCTCTCTCTCTCTCTCTCTCTCTCTCTCTCTCATCCTTCCAACCTATTCCTGGTACCTTTATACAAGAGGCGGGGCCAAGTGTGGCAGTGGCAGGTAGTGAGTGTGCAACCCACATCTGATATTTTATAATGTTGCCTCGGCAGAGATCATTATAATGTCTTTGTCATTATCGTGTCCTTGTCATTATAGTGCCTTTATCATTATAGTGCCTTTGTTATTATAGTGCCTTTGTTATTATAGTGCCTTTGTCATTATAGTGTCTTTGTCATTACAGAACGTGTCCTTAACATTACAGTTCCTTCTTTAGCCATTTGAGTTCCCATACATTATAGTGGCAGTGAATATGAGCACCATCCTCACTGTCCTGTGTGGCAGTGAATATGAGCAGCATCCTCACTGTTCTGTGTGGCAGTGAATATGAGCAGCATCCTCACTATCCTGTGTGGCAGTAAATATGAGCAGCATCCTCACTGTCCTGTGTGGCAGTGAATATGAGCACCATCCTCACTGTCCTGTGTGGCAGTGAATATGAGCACCATCCTCACTGTCCTGTGTGGCAGTGAATATGAGCAGCATCCTCTCTGTCCTGTGTGGCAGTTTATATGAGCACCATCCTCACTGTCCTGTGTGGCAGTGAATTTGAGCACCATCCTCACTGTCCTGTGTGGCAGTGAATTTGAGCAGCATCCTCAGATAAATAAGACCCAACTGTAGTGTTCCAATTAGGCTCAATTATGTTAATGTTGTCAATAAAGATGCTAATAATAATAATAACAATAATTTAACAATTATATTTATCAAAGAAAGTTTCACAGTAAAATGAAAAGCATTTGTTCATTAAGCTCACGCATAATGAACAAATATGTGTTCATTACGTTCATAAAATTGGGTATTTATGAACAAAAACCGGCGATTATAGTCTCGTACTGTGTCATCTCTCCTGTTCAAGTTGCCGAAGATCTCTGTCTGACGGACGGAAGCTTAGACGGAAGCTTCAATTCTCACAAGCGCTCGGGAGGTCAGCTTCACCCCCCCCCACTCACACGAACGCTCGGAAGGTCAGGGGTCACCCCCACGAACGCTCGGAAGGTCAGGGGTCACCCCCACGAACGCTCGGAAGGTCAACTTCACGCCCACGAACGCACGAAAGGCTCCAGGAAAATCACTGTACCCTCACACTAAAATACCCCCATGCAATATTGACGCCATATCCACTACAACGTCAAAATTTCGCTGCTCTCAGGAAAGATCTATGCACATCAAATTTAACACTCCCAGGGCGGCCTGTCCTGCTGAAACAGACAAAATACGGGGTATTAAAACACGCGAACCTAACCAACCCCTTCCCACATACCGTGGATTGCGAGTAGGTTTAGGTTAGGTTAGGTTCGGTTTGGTTAGGTTAGGTTAGGTTAGGTTAGGTTAGGTTAGGTTAGGTTTGGTTAGGTTAGGTTAGGTTAGGTTAGGTTTGGTTAGGTTAGGTTAGGTTAGGTTAGGTTAGGTTAGGTTAGGTTAGGTTAGGTTAGGTTAGGTTAGGTTAGGTTTGGTTAGGTTAGGTTAGGTTCGCGCGTTTTGGCACCCCGTTTTCTGTCCGTTGTAGCCACTTGAGATGGATATATTTATAGCCCGTTCCCTTGATTGCCATTACGTCAAAAAGGCAAAGGTGTTTGCCTTATTAGAAGCGTCAGAACCTGACCAAACTCCACTAAGCTTACCTACCACCGGAGCTGGTTAGGCCAATGCGTCAGTATTTCGGTGCTTTTAATTTCCCAAAACCAAAGCAATTGTCATATTTTTTTTACGTAAAAAACTGTAGTATTCGCTGACAGGAGTGACTTATATAATACACATTATACATGCGTATGATGTATATTGTACAATATACATGCGTATGATGTATATTGTACAATATACATGCGTATGATGTATATTGTACAATATACATGCGTATAATGTATATTATACATTTATAGGCATTTATAGGAATAAAAACATACGTCCCTTAAAAATGCCGTCCTCTCATATGACTTAGTTCATTTCGTTCAGGATCAATCAGTACGTTAATAATACGATGTATCAGTAAATAATAAAACTTCGAAATATTACACCGGCCTACATATAGGCTAATGGGTTAAACAAGGTATAAGTCATCGAAGGTAACCAACCAATCGATCACTAGATTGTTTCAAGCGTAGGTGAGACATATATGAATGAGTTGGGTGATATAAATAGCAAGGGGGGCTGCCTCGTATAGGCCAATATAGGCACTTTGGTATTTTCTATATTCTTATGTATAGGTCATTATAGGCGTTCTCATATTCTTAGGTTCTTATGCTTGAGTATAGTAATAACATTGAGGGGGGGGGAGAGGCCGTGTGGTGGTATAGTGGACTAGAGCGCGTCTGGGCATATCCAGGGTTCGAATCCTAATCAAGGTCCTTGTGAATGTGTTCATAGAGCTCATGGGGAGGGGGGGGGGGTGTATTTCGGGTTATCCAGCCAGGCTAGGGTGACACATTTCGAACGCATGTCACTCAAATGACACATGTTTGGAAGCTTTTCAAAACCTGCATTATTAATATTTAGTCAAGGGTGTCGTTGCCAGGTGTGTCATTGACAATAGCGTTGTTGACAAAGGTGTCGTCGACAAAGGTGTCGTCGACAAAGGTGTCGTTGACAAAGCGGTGTTCATCCTGCACCGAGAGTGCTGCTGCTGCTGATGGTGTCTTCAAATGCCTCATGAAACTGACCAAGGTAGATAAAAAAAAAAAGCATAAATGAAACTCGAACTTGACTTAAAATTGGGTATAGTCTCACACACACACACAACATTGTGGTTTAGGTCAGAGGAGGAAAAAAAAGGTACTTTTTTGGTTTTTGTCCTTTTAGATATTTTATTATTTGTCGGTGGTGTGTGTGTGTATGTGTGTGAGCGTGCGTGTGTGTGTGTGTGTGTGTGTGTATGTGTGTGAGCGTGCGTGTGTGTGTGTGTGAGAGAGAGAGAGTCACATGGGATCTCTGTAATATAAGTGTTGGTAATACCCTACAATTTAACCAAAAGAACCGGGTTCCATCATCCGTCCGGCTGTCGACCCGATTGTCAGTGTCGGGGTCTTAAAAACGTATGAAATGTATAAAGTGCGTCGAACCATGTGCTTAGAGGAGTGAGGTAATTCTTGTCATTACTTCGCCCAGTGGTGATGGATGCAAGGGTGAAGACACCGGCTGATGTCCTCTTGTGCCGGCTCTTGTCGATACTCTAATGCCGGTTCAGACATAAATAATACGATATCCTCAAAGATATCATCAGAAAGAACTATAACAATATCCTCAAAGATATCATCGGAAAGAACTATTACAATGTCCTCAAAGATATCATCGGAAAGAACTATTACAATATCCTCAAAGATATCATCGGAAAGAACTATAACAATATCCTGAAAGATATCATCGGAAAGAACTATAACAATATCCTCAAAGATATCATCGGAAAGAACTATAACAATATCCTCAAAGATATCATCGGAAAGAACTATAACAATATCCTCAAAGATATCATCGGAAAGAACTATAACAATATCCTCAAAGATATCATCGGAAAGAACTATTACAATATCCTCAAAGATATGAACAAATATATCATAGTCTCAAAGATATCATCGGAAAGAACTATAACAATATCCTCAAAGATATCATCGGAAAGAACTATAACAATATCCTCAAAGATATCATCGGAAAGAACTATAACAATATCCTCAAAGATATCATCGGAAAGAACTATAACAATATCCTCAAAGATATCATCGGAAAGAACTATAACAATATCCTCAAAGATATCATCGGAAAGAACTATAACAATATCCTCAAAGATATCATCGGAAAGAACTATTACAATATCCTCAAAGATATGAACAAATATATCATAGTCTCAAAGATATCATCGGAAAGAACTATAACAATATCCTCAAAGATATCATCGGAAACTCTTCAATTACTGACAGCTGGGATTCCTCTTTTGATAAATGCTTACGTAGAAAGAAGGAAATATGTCTGTCGTATATGAAGATGGAAAAATGAGAAAACTTGGGATATTTTTTTAAGGTAAGGTAATTTAAGTTGAATTTCGTGAAGTTTGGTGTATGAGGCGGCCTGGCCGGTGTATGTCCGGCCTGGCCGGTGTATGTCCGGCCTGGCCAGTGTATGTGAGGCCTGGCCGGTGTATGTGAGGCCTGGCAGGTGTATGTAGGATCTGGCCGCTGTACATGTGTAGTCCAGCCGGGATAAAAGCGGTCATCTTAGACATCTTTTGAAGTCATACTGACACCATACATACTTTTGAAGTCATAACTACACACTGATAGTGACGGTGATTCCGACAGTGTGGTGAAGGCGGGTATAATGGCAGTCAGAGGCTAAAGGCCCGCGCAGGAATATCCTTAACCACCCCCCCCCTCACCTCAAAAATAAAAATAAATGAACAATTTACTTCAAAATTGAATCCTCTTCTCTTCTGATTCTTCATCATTTCTTCTCTTCTACAGGATTGTGAAGTCTATACCAATTATTATTGGTATAGACTTGCATATTGGATTGCATAGAGTATATTGGACTTGCATATACCATTATGCAAGTCCCATACCATATATTCTTATAGCTTAGTCCTCTTAGCTCTGGCTATACCATCTTTAATTATACGTATTATAGCATATATATATAAATATATATATATATATATATATATATATATATATATATATATATATATATATATATATATATATATATATATATATATATATATATATATATATATATATATATATGTATATATAATCTACGGTCATATATTATTATACCATCTATCATCTGGCCGGCAGCAATTCAACAACTCATCACGCATCATTCACCACAAAATATCCGCTTCCATGCCATGGAATTATTTGCTCAAAGAAGGTTTTTTTTTTCCCCCTTGACAGTCTACTTACAACTAATGTGTTTGGCTTAGCAAAACAAAAACAAAATAATACAAAAAAAATAAAATCGGGCTTCCCAGTTACAAAAGGCATTTAGAGCGCCTGAAAATGAGTTATGTAACGATCGTGTATTATAGTGGATTTGAAAATACTTTTGGGGCGGTATATTTATTAAGCGGCGGCCAGAAAACTGTTTCAGAGGCGGAATTTAATTAGGGAATTAACTGGAGGACAAAAGTATACTTTGTGTGGTGTGGAGGGAAGGTGCTGGGGGCGACGTCCCCCCCTCCCCTAATGGCTCTGTTCTGTGGTAGATCCCCCAGCATACGACCCTTAAATTTGGGAAGGGGTTGGGGTGGGGGGTCACATTCACCACAACGACCCCCCTGGCCCTTTCATGGTGGACCCCAGATGCAACAACACGACCCCTGGCGGACCCCAGATGCAACAACATGACCCCTGGCGGACCCCAGATGCAACAACACGACCCCTGGCGGACTCCAGATGCAGCAGCACCACGATTCCTGGCACTCCTTATGACACTTAAGATGCCTTGACATCTGTTTACAAGTCGAAGCTGTTAATACCAAATACATCACACTTACGGCTGTAACCTTAGACTGGCGTCAATACACGGAACAAAATACAGCAACAACATGTACTAACTACCTTACCTACCTTGAGGTGCTTCCGGGGCTTAGCGTCCCCGCGGCCCGGTCGTCGACCAGGTCTCCTGAGAAACATTACTTTCAGCTCAAGGGAGAAAATGTTCTCTTCATTTAAAGATTTATTTATTTATTTATTTATTTATTTATTTATTTATTTATTTATTTATTTATTTATTTGCTTCATTAAAAGAGCCAAATTACTTCATTTAAAATAAATTTTAAAGTTGTTCTCAAAGCAAAACTTTGAGAACTGAAAGAATTTTAAGAAATTTGAAAACTACTTCACATGCAGTTCTTTTGAAGTAAAAGTTCTCAAACATCTGATGAAGCTTTTTTTTGTGGCTAATGAATATACACTCTCTTCACGAATAAAGAATATTTTGTATTATACACTATTGAAAACAGGATTAACGAGGTACAGCGTCATCGAGGCACATCATTAATGAGATACAGCGCTAAGGTACAGCATTACAAGAGAGCCAGCATCACCACAAGAGAGCCAGCATCACCAAGAGAGCCAACATCACCAAGAGAGCCAGCATCACCAAGAGAGCCAGCATCACCATAAGAGAGCTAGCATCACCAAGAGAGCCAGCATCACCACAAGAGAGCCAGCATCACCAAGAGAGCCAGCATCACCACAAGAGAGCCAGCATCACCAAGAGAGCCAGCATCACCAAGAGAGCCAGCATCACCACAAGAGAGCCAGCATCACCATAAGAGAGCTAGCATCACCAAGAGAGCTAGCATCACCAAGAGAGCTAGCATCACCAAGAGAGCCAGCATCACCATAAGAGAGCTAGCATCACCAAGAGAGCTAGCATCACCATAAGAGAGCTAGCATCACCAAGAGAGCCAGCATCACCAAGAGAGCCAGCCAGGGAGCTACAATAAGAGCCACACATCACACAACAGAGGAATCCACGACAGATTGCGGTTTAAAAACTCGTGACTTTTTGTTGGGTCTCCTCTAATCCTAAGCTATCCCACTGTAGATCATAGGGATACATTTTCACAATGCAATTAACCCGTGCGGGGCCATCCATTAGGGACCTCTGGTGGGGGGATGGATGAGGAGGGAGGGAGTACACCGAACCTCATTCATCTAGTGGAGAAATTTAATTGATAAGTCAACCGTGGTCAATTGTAGGTGAGGTTGGTGTGGGTGTCTTAGCCAGGAGAGTGATGGACAACCTCTTCTTCCCCCCCCCCCTCCCCTAACCCCACGACCCCACCGTCCTCTCCCCCCCCTCCCCCTCCCCACATCTTACCTTCCAAAAAAAAACACAGACCATCCCACTCCATCTCCTGTTGTTATAGTCTCAAAATATATACTTGAAATTACGTATTTTTTTAAATGTTCCCTTTTGTCCTCCTTTTTTTCTATGACACTTTATTAAAAACAAAAAATAACTATTAATTAAGTCATTGTGAAACTTAAAATGAAACGCTGAAACTTTAGTTGGATTTTAGTTGGATTTTTCAGAAGCTTTATCACTAATATGATGTAAACACAGACACACATATTATATATATATATATATATATATATATATATATATATATATATATATATATATATATATATATATATATATATATATATATATATATATGTATGTACACACGTATAAGGCAACTTCCCTGGAAACACAAACCGAAACTGTCTCTATTTTCCGCTTGTTACAACTTGTAATAAAGTTGTTACATCTTGGCTTAACGTGTTTATGACGTATTAGAACGTTGTTACAACTTGCTATATTGGTTGTTATAACTGGTTAGGAGGTGTTAAAACTTGTTCGAACGTTGTACCAACGTCGTAGTTTTGGTGTGTGTTTGGCGGGATTGGGTGTAGAGACTTCCTCAGTCGAGTCCTGGGTCAAGGCAACTATCCTACGAAACCTATATATCTTTTAGCTTTCATGACGGCTTTAAGATTTATTCAACAGTTTATGAGCTTCGAAGGGCCACGGGGTTGCTTATAACAATAATAACCTTGGGTTGTGATGTTTCAATTATCGTAAACTGGTTAATAAACGTAAACAAACCCGGCATGATTAAGGAAAGATGTAGAGGTTTCGTAAGTCGTCTCGCAGATGGTTGATGAATCCTGGCCAGCATGTTCGGGTTATTATGGTTCTCACAGTGGTATATGTACGACGTTTCTATAACTTTCGAACGAGTTTTAACACCTAACAAGTTGTAACAACGTTCGAATACGTCATAAAGACGTCATAAAAAGACGTAACAACTTTATTTTAAGTTGTAACAAGCGGAAAATAGAAACATCTACGTTGTGTGTATGCCTGGATCGGGACCCAGCAACCATACACGACGCACCAAAACGTTGATTATATACGTTCTTACAACGTCAAGGCAACAATACCAAAGACAACGTCGTAGTTACGTCGTGTGGTTGTTGGGGAATTAAATCTAGGACTTCTTGTTACCATCTTGTGCCACAGACGATGCTAAAATTAGTCGTCTATAAACCTGTTGTCTTTCATATAATTACTTATTTTGGATTAATGTGAAACTTCATTTCTTCCCTCATGTTAATTATTTCCGTGCATCTTGAAGCTGCTGCAGCAAGAGTCACCCTCACTAGGTGATGTGGTGGAGGCTGACTCCATACACAGATTCAAATGTAGATATGATAGAGCCCAGTAGGCTCAGGAATCTGTACACCAGTTGATTCAACTGGTACCTGTATACTTATATTACCTGTAGTGTGTTCAAAGTAATGGTAAGAACGTTCATCAAACCCAAGGCTTGTTGATCAACCAGGGATTTTGATTGTTGCCGCCGGAGGCGGCTAGTTTATTGTGCACCCCATACTCATCCTGTGAGCGGTAGCGCAATAAAGGATTATAGAGGGAACAAAAGGTCTTTATCAGACCTCAATGGAGATTATTACATGAACAATTTCATCTATCCTTCACACCTTATAATTACAGTGTCAGCTAGTTACAACCAGGGAGCTGACAAACATTCTGTACAATAGTCTATAGCATATTCAACATTGATATGCCTACCAGAAAATGTATTCAGGGGCTTCAGTTTTTGTATGAGCCTATGACATCATCAAGAGAAGTTTGGCTACAGCTGGGTGTCCAGCACAAAGCGAACCTCAGTTGTGCAGACCTGACAACAGCCAAAAACGCCCAGATGGAGTCACCCTGCAGCCGTGGAGGGAAGATAAACAGGTCGTGTGGGACTACACGTGCGCGTCTACATTGGCTGA